GGCATTTTTGGAGCGAGAAGGCTTATGTAATAATATCTGCTGGATAGTGGTACACCTGCAATCGCCTTAACAATGAAATAAGCCAATCAAGATTATCAGTAAAATTATTAGAAACTGTGATAAATGAAAAAGTGTTTTCGCATCATAAACATTCTTAAAAAGATTCATGAAAAATGAGCGTCCAGAAACACATGATGTGCTCACGTAGTATGTCCGACCCTCCTGTCAGCTTCTTGCATTTTTCCGTGCCGTTGAACGATTTTTCGGTTCATCTTCGTCTCCCTTGCATGGAACGCCGTTACCAGATTCAGGAATATAGAAGCGCCTGTGGTGTGAAAGTGCTTCTGCCTGGCCGAAAAGTAACGATTCTGAAGCGATAACGGATTAGAAAATCATTCAGTTTCATAAGGAATACTGCACTGAAATAATGGTGAGCAACGCTGCAACTTCGAAATCAAGTAAAGATAAGAACTGGATTTTACGCCTGGAACTGTCGCTGTTCTGCTGTCCAAAAGCTGTTTCAGCTATGAAGACAAGCTTTGCCGGACTCGTTCTTCCAGAATGAAAATTTTTTCCCTTTCATGGAAAACTTGTTGGAGAAGGGAAGGGCAGAAGATGGAACGGCGGGAAATAGAGCGGATAAAGGAGCAGGGGTAACGCTGGGACATACTTTGTCAAAATCAAAATATACCGTAAGTACCAGTACCGTCCGGACAATAGATGTGTACATCTGACGAGAATGCTCTCATACACGGGCTGCGGCTATTCAAGCTCTTTGATCCTGAATTGTAACCATCTGTGTTGGTACTCACTGCTTGATTGACAGTCAGGCAGTTTTTTTTTTCACGTACTTTGTTACCAGATCTCCACCTTGTCCCTCCTTCTCCCCTCGCCTCGTTTTTGTTCTTCCTCGTTCTTATCCTTCTTCCCTCATTGCCGGTGGTTCTAGCTTGAAAGTGCCTTTTTGGTCCAAAATGCGACTTCCCCGCAATTTTTATGCTGGCCGCACTGCTGAACCCGCCATAATTTTTAGCTAAACTTACATTTCCAGATTCCATTTAAACATGGAGTATCCCAAGGAAACTTCAGATTACCGGTTTTCTGTTCCTCAAGGGCAATGTCGTCTGCATCAAAGACTTGTGCCTGTTTGTGAGAACCAAGCTTGCGTGGAAGCTGAATCTGAAGGATTTATGTTGCTCGTAAATAGGGGACATCTCCGTAAAACTTCAGCTTTTTTTCTACCGATTTGTCAAATTTCCCCACAAATGTTCTGGCTGGTCGTATTGCTGAACCCGCCATGATTTTTAGCTAAACATACACTCACAAATTTCACCCCAGCAAAACTTCAGACGACTAATTTTTTTATCTCTCAGCGCACTGCCTTTCGCGTCAATGACTTGTACTCGTGCGTGAGGACCAAACGTTCATGGGAACCTTACTTTAAGTATTGGACTACCTGCCAGTGCGTGACCTGATTCTTTGACAGGGCGTTGGCAGCTTTTCTAGTTGTTTTGGCTAATTCTTCCACCGCGCGGTAGTCATTTGTTGGTCCTGCATCTTCAAATTTCTTACTCGTTTGAATTTTCAGATAAAGCGTACTTTTATTGTTGAGATGTCAGCATTGCAAACATACGGTCGCTTCATTTTGTTAATGCGTTTCCGGATGGGCAGAACTGGAAAATTTGCCTCAGAAATATGAGCAATTTATGAGGTCAGCTGAGAAAATCACTCAGGAGCAAACGGCCTAACGTTAGTATGCTCAGCATTACGAGAGCATTCCAATGCGGCTCCAACCGAGGGGCGCTCCACGGTGATTGCCCTTTTGGCCAAGATATTCTTGGCTTTTTTATTTTTATGCGTTTTTTGCAGTTATGCAATGCAAAAAACGCATATTGACGAGAGGTTGTCTG